TACGAACCCTTTGTACGAACAAAAGTAAGAGAAATTTAGGATAAGAATATAAGCATGTTCTTGCATGAGGCCCAATGCTTCTAAAACAGAGGAGACAGAGACCATCCAGGCTCCTGCTTTGACTCACTCTCCACAGAAAGGAAAAAYGGTTCACACTTCAACAGGTTCTGCTAAGTGCTCAACAGTGTTTCCCATTCACACCTATAAAAAGCCCTTTCCATTTTACATTTCCACTCYATACATGCTGCTCTTCATAATTCTCACCCATACACTGAGTGACGRACAGCGAGGACCCTCACCCTGCAAACCGGGAGAACCTCAGCACTGAGTCACAGCCGCTCCAGTCCGCTGGACCTCCAACTGCTATAATAAAGTTTAACGCCGACTGGAAGATAGGAGTCCATAAAGACAGCACCCCAATGGGCTGTGACTGTTGGACACGAGCTGACGGTTCAAAATTGTGAGAAAATGGGAAACCGAGTCACCAGCAAGTCGTTTGGAGAACTTTCGTGCAGCCATTTTTGAAAATCTGCACTCCATGCTGYGCACATTAAACATCATATCTGCCTCTTTGTAGCCACTTCCTGAGCCGTGRTGCGGAGAAACGCAGCTCGGACTGCTTGGCTTTTATTTTAACTCCAGTTGAAAGTCTGACGCGGCAGAGCAGACTTCAGGAGTCGGTCCCCTGTCACGTACGTTAAAAGGCATGTTTTCAGGGCGGGGTGCGAGCGGCGGGAACGATTAAAGCTAACAGGAGGTGGTTACCTTGTCCAGGCGGGGTCAAACAGACGGCCTGGCTCAGAGCGGAAAGCACGCTTTGTTCTGCGAGGCCAATCCTCAGCTTCCCGGCCAGGGACCTGCCCATGAAAACACCAACAACAGTCATCGCAGACTCTTTTTGCACCTGCTAAACATGATAAGCGCTACACTCAAACGGACACACGCGGTGGAGGTGCGAGGCCTCTGGAATACAAAATGTGTGCGGATTCCTGTGGTCACACAAGGCGGTTGAGCTGCGTGTGTGTGGGAGGGAGACTTATTTTACCTGACGATGTAGCGGGCCTCTGAAAAGCGGCATGCCACAAAGAGGCCTTTGATGATGTCGATTTTCTTATTCATGGCCTGAGGCGGGCGGGAGGAAATTGAGATTCACAGAGGAAGAGCAAGAGGAGACAGAATGCAAAAAGACTGAGGTTAGCAGCGAGTACATGTTCAAAGAAGAGGGAAAAATACTCAGCAGTAATAGGGAGGAGGTGGGGAGGAACTAATTGCACAGGAGAGATTTCAGCCAGGTGAGAACTTACTCAAAGGATGAAAATTAACCTAGAAGTAGACAAACTAATAATTTCTCATCCGATACCCGATCACATTAGYATCTGTCAGCAGCAAAATGAAGACAATATTCTTCAAAGCCGTCTCGTCTCTTAATGAAAACATTCTGAGGCTCACCGAGTTCCCACTCATGCTGGCGATTTCCTTCAGTTTCTTGAACACGCCCGCCGCGGTCAGGTTGGCTGGCTGGAACATCATGCGCTGGTTGCTGCGGGAGCTCTCGGCCACGAGGCCCAGRTCTCCCTTCTCCTGCGCCTCCGCTTTGATTTTGTCCAACTGACGCCCTGGAAACGAGAGCGAGACRATAAGCCGTCCGTTCGGTGGACGAGCGCAGGAAGGTTTCGGYGCCGCTCGTTTTACCGGTGGCTTGAGCGACCGCTTTCATCAGCACTGTCTCCCCGACGCCGAGCTCCATCCCGAGGTAGGCGGGGCCCAGCTGGTTCAGACACAGGTACACCGTGCACAGCAGGTCATCTACGAGGAGCAGAATCAGACTCAACACACGAAGGGAGTGTGGACTGCCAGCCATAACGTCACAAACCAGGTTTCTACAGTTTAAACCGTTCAATTTAAGACCCTTTAAGACTTTTTAAAGCCAAGTGAAGTTGAATTTAAGACTTTTTAAGACTTTTTAATGCCGAGTGAAGTTAAATTTAAGACCCTTTAAGACTTTTTAAAGCCAACTGAAGTTGAATTTAAGACCTTTTAAGACTAACACCAAGTGAAGTTGAATTTAAGACCCTTTAAGACACTTTAAAGCCAAGTGAAGTTGAATTTAAGACCTTTTAA